GCAAATAAACTAGAAAATCTAGAAGAAATGGATAAATTCCTGGACATATACAACCTCCCAAGACTAAACCAGGAAGAAGTCAAATCCCTGAAAAGACCAATAACAAGTTCTGAAATTGAGGCAGTAATTAACAGCCTACCAACCAAAAAAAGCCCAGGGCCAGACGGATTCACAGCCAAATTCTACCAGAGGTACAAAGAGGAGCTGGTACCATTCCTTCTGAAACTATTTCAAACAACAGAAAAAGAGAGATTCCTCCCTAACTCATTTTATGAAGCCAGCATCATGCTTATTCCAAAATCTGGCAGAGACACAACAAAAAAAGAAAATTTCAGGCCAATATCCCTGATGAACATCAATGCGAAAATCCTGAATAAAATACTGGCAAACTGAATCCAGAAGCACATCAAAAAGCTTATCCACCATGATCAAGTCGGTTTCATCCCTGGGATGAAGGCTGGTTCAACATACGAAAATCAATAAATGTAATCCATCACATAAACAGAATCAATGACAAAAACCACATGATTATCTCAATAGATGCAGAAAAGGCCTTCAATAAAATTCAACACCCCTTCATGCTAAAAACACTCAATAAACTAGGTACTAATGGAACATATCTCAAAATAATAAGAGCTATTTATGACAAACCCATAGCCAATATCATACTGAATGGGCAAAAGCTGGAAGCATCCCTTTGAAAATCAGCACAAGACAAGGATGCCCTCTCTCACCACTCCTATTCAACACAGTATTGGAAGTTCTGGCCAGGGCAATCAGGCAAGAGAAAGAAATAAAGGGTATTCAAATAGCAAGGGAGGAAGTCAAATTGTCTCTGTTTGCAAATGACATGATTGTATATTTAGAAAACCCTATTGTCTCATCCCAAAAACTCCTTAAGCTGATAAGCGACTTCTGCAAAGTCTCAGGATACAAAATCAACGTGCAAAAATCACAAGCATTCCTATACACCAATAATAGACAAGCAGAGAGCCAAGTCATGAATGAACTCCCATTCACAATTGCTACAAAGAAAATAAAATACCTAGGAACGCAACTTACAAGGGACATGAAGGACCTCTTCAAGGAGAACTACAAACCACTGCTCAAGGAAATAAGAGAGCACACAAACAAATGGAAAAAAAATCCATGCTCATGGATAGAAGAATCTATATCATGAAAATGGCCATACTGCCCAAAGCAATTTATAGATGCTATGCTATTCCCATCAAGCAACCACTGACTTTCTTCACAGAACTAGAAAAAACTACTTTAACTTTCATATGGAACCAAAAAAGAGCCCACATAGACAAGACAATCCTAAGCAAAAAGAACAAGGCTGAAGACATCGCACTACCTGACTTCAAACTATATTATAAGGCTACAATAACCAAAACGGCATAGTACTAGTACCAAAACAGATACATAGACCAATGGAACAGAACAGAGGCCTCAGAAATAACACCACACATCTACCACCATCTGATCTTCGACAAACCTAACAAAAACAAGCAATGGGGAAAGGATTCCCTATTTAATATACAGTGCTGGGAAAACTGGCTAGCCATGTGCAGAAACCAGAAACTAGGCCCCTTCCTTACACCTTATACAAAAATTAACTCAAGATGGATTAAAGACTTAAACATAAAACCTAAAACCATGAAAACCCTAGAAGAAAACCTAGACAACAGTATTCAGGATATAGGCATGGACAAAGACTTCATGACTAAAACACCAAAAGCAACTGCAACAAAAGCCAAAATTGACAAATGGGATCTAATTAAACAAAAGAGCTTCTGCTCAGCATAAGAAACTATCAGAGTGAACAGGTGACCTACAGAATGGGAGAAAATTTTTGCAATCTATCCATCTGACAAAGGTCTAATATCCAGAATCTGCAAGAAATTTACAAGAAAAAAAACAACCCCATAAAAGGTGGGCAAAGGATATGAACAGACACTTCTCAAAAGAAGACATTTATGTGGCCAATAAACATGAAAAAAAAGTTCATCATCACTGGTCATTAGAGAAATGCAAATAAAAACCACAACGAGATACCATCTCATGCCAGTTAGAACCGCAATCATTAAAAAGTCAGGAAACAACAGATGCTGGAGAGGATGAAGAGAAATAGGAACACTTTTATACTGTTGGTGGAAGTGTAAATTAGTTCAACCATCGTGGAAGACAGTGTGGCGATTCCTCAAAGATCTAGAACCAGAAATACCATTTGACCCAGCAATCTCATTACCGGGTATCTATACACCCAACGGATTATAAATCATTCTACTATAAAGACACAGGCACATGTATGTTTACTGCAGCACTATTTACAACAGCAAAGACTTGGAACCAACCCAAATGCCCATCAATGATAGGCTGGATAAAGAAAATGTAGCATATATACACCATGGAATACTATGCAACCATAAAAAAGAGTAAGTTCATGTCCTTTGCAGGTACATGGATGAAGCTGGAAACCATCATCCTGAGCAAATTAACACAGGAACAGAAAACTAAACACCGCATGTTCTCACTCATAAGTGGGAGATGAACAATGAAAACACACAGACACAGGGAGGGGAACATCATACACTGGGGCCTGCCAAGGGGTCAGGGGAAAGGGGAGGGAGAGCATTAGGACAAATACCTAATGCATGTGGGGCTTAAAACCTAGATAACGGGTTGATAGGTGCAGCAAACCACCATGGCACATGTATACCTACGTAACAAACCTGCACGTTCAGCATATGTATCCCTTAAAGTAAAATAAAACTTAAAGTAAAATAAAAATTTTTTTTAAGAAATTAAAAACAAAAAAGAAATTGCTTACTTCACAGTTTGCAGGTTCTCATGAAGAAGGAAATATGGATACAGTTTCTGGCATATATCAAATTTTTTTATATTATGGATTTAAATTATGTAATGTCCCATTTTGCACTGTTACTTGAGTTTTTTTATAAGCAGAAATTATCTATTTACAACAACCTATGATAATGTTATTCTTATCACAATTCCTTGAGTAGACATCTCTCTCCCACTAAAAGATTAAACTTCCAGTGGGAATGATGGCTCACACCTGCAATCCCAGCTACTCAGAAGACTGAAGTGGGAGGATCACTTGAGGCCAGGATTTCAAGACCAGCCTGGGAAACAGCAGGACTCCATCTCTACAAAAAAAATTTTAAAACTTAACCAGGCATGATAGCAAGCACCTGAAGTCCCAGTTACTCAGGAGGCTAAGGTGGGAGAATAGCTTGAACCCAGGAGTTCAAGGCTGCAGTGAGTCGTGATCATGCCATTGCACTCCAGCCTGAGTGACAGAATGAGGTCAACTCTATTTAAAAAAAAAAGATTAAACTTATACTCACTTAAACTCATTAGATGGAGGTTTCAGAAACTTTAGTTTTTGAAACTCAAGTTGTGAATGTTACAGGTGCATCATGACATGGCTCCCTGCTCCATGGAAGAGCCTCACAGCACACAGGCCTGGCCATCCACTTCATCATTGTGACCTGGGTTCTTTGCTTTGCCTCTCAGGACTGGATGGGGCTTCAATGGGTCTCACCCATGACCTGATGAAGCCTAAAGGGGGGTGACGGGGTGTTTGTAGCTGAAGAAAAATAAGTTTTGTGTTTGTTGTTGAGGGGAGCAAAGGCCCACAGCCTGACACCTGTTCCCTGAGGAGGCATAAAAGAAACCTGGGGAAAGCAGAATGGTTGGTATCAGTGCACAAACTACAGGCCTACCCATCACACCACTAAGCAGTAACAGAGGCACAGGGAATGACACCAGGTGGCTGGCCCCAGCAGGGATGGCATGCCCTTTGAGGACTCCAAGTCAACCTTAAAAAAGAGGGTGTGGGGACCAGGAAGCTTATCCTCGGCACATGCATGCCACCTATGTGAATAGGAGGAAATAAAAAAAATAGCAAGGATAGCAAGTGGGGACGCTGGGATGGGGTGGGCCTGTCCCTCCGTCCCTCCGTCCCTCCCTCCCTCCTGTGCAGCCATGTTGTTGCCCTGGGAGAACTGCAGAGTCTGAGAGTTCTCTTTCTCCTGTGATTAAAGGTTATGGAGAATTGGCCGGGCACGGTGGCTCAAGCCCGTAATCCCAGCACTTTGGGAGGCCGAGACGGGCGGATCACGAGGTCAGGAGATCGAGACCATCCTGGCTAACCAGGTGAAACCCCGTCTCTACTAAAAAAAATACAAAAAAACTAGCCGGCGAGGTGGCGTGCGCCTGTAGTCCCAGCTACTGGGGAGGCTGAGGCAGGAGAATGGCGTAAACCCGGGAGGCGGAGCTCGCAATGAGCCAAGATCCGGCCACTGCACTCCAGCCTGGGCGACAGAGCGAGACTCCGTCTCAAAAAAAAAAAAAAAAAAAAGTTATGGAGAATTAAATCGTAAACCTTTCATCTCTGTGATGCATGGTTCATCACCATACACGGGGAGGTGCTACCCACTGTGTCACTTTGTCTAATTTGAGTTTATTAGACCCTGGGCTGGCAAAGCCCAGGAAACTCACATGACAGATGCTATGAATGTTAGCTATCACTGCGCATTTAGTTGACTGGACTTTTCTTAGGGAAACCGAAGGCAGATTTAATCTTTAGGAAAAAAGAGAATTCACCAAGATAATGTTTGAGGATTCCCTTGAAAACTGAGAGGCTGGCCATCTACAATAGGAACCCCAAGAGTGCCTATGGCTTTGTTTATAAAATAGGTGAGGACATCAGATGCTTGGGTTTCTCTCTCAGGAAGTAGTGTGAACAGGGCTCACCATCCCCAGAGGGAGATTTCTGCAGAACAGCTGGGAGAACCTCACGAACAGAATAAGGGGAGCAAGGATGGTGTGCTCAGCTCATTCCTAGGGCAGGAGAAGGAACATGCCTCACATCCCAAAGGCGATCTCAACACTCCCTCAAGGATGCTGGGTCTTTGCAACAGCTTTGACTGGCTTGGGTGAAGCCACCCACCACTACCCACCAAGGCCATTACCTGCTTTCCCTTCACCACATGCTTGGGTACTGGCACTCTGACCTCCAGGTCAGTATAGTCCTGTGACCAGGTGTAGTTCTCTCGGACAGCACCATTGTAACTGTCGGGATTCTTCTGAAACTGCTCCTGAATCCTGAAAAAGAATAAAAAAGGTAAGATCCCAGCCAGCCATGCCTGAGCAGAGGACCCCATGGACAGCCCAGCCACATGCCACTCCTACATCCTGGAGACGTGACCAACTCAAGTTTCATCTCAAGCTTGCTTGCTCTGGCATCTGGAAACCCCTCCTCTTTTCAGGTGACTTCCTTTCTGACCCTCCTACATGGTACCCCTGGAAACCACATGACAAGGGAAAAGCTACAGAAAAGAAGCCTCAGTGCAGCACCCTACGGTTTAGAAAAAGTATCTGGGACCACAGTCAAAGTATAGCTGGTGCTGCTGGCCTTCAGAGTACTGAGATCCAGGCCTGTTAATTAATCAGAGGGCCCTTATTAATAAAATTCTTAGGCTCATGAGTCCTTGGTTTCTTATAAACTGCTTGGCAGGGTGTATCTTTAAAAAAAAGGGAAAAAAAAAGGGAAAAAAAAGAGGCCAGGTGTGGTGGCTCATGCCTGTAATCCCAGCACTTTGGGAGGCCAAGGGTGAGTGAATCACCTGAGGTCCGGAGTCCAAAACCAGCCTAGCCAACATGGCGAAACCCTGTCTCTACTAAAAATACAAAAATTAGCTGAGCATGGGAGCACATGCCTGTAATCCCAGCTACTTGGAAGGCTTAGGGAGGAGAATTGCTTGAACCTGAGAGGCGGAGGTTGCAGGTTGCAGTGAGCCAAGATTGCACCATTGCACTCCAGCCTGGGCAACAAGAGCGAAACTCCATCTCAAAAAAAAAAAAAAAGGCAAAACTATTTCATCCTGCAGCTGCTAAACTTCAGTCCTAATCCAACCCCTAGCCTCTATTTTCTCCTAGTAAATAAATCAAAGCTAAAAGGACTGAACTAAAATTGTATACATCATTTGTAAGACATAAGTAAAACGTTTAATGAGACAGCCTAAAAAACTCAATCAAGCAGATCTTATTGTATAGGTCTGTTATAAACACAGCACAGATACAGATAAACCTACCAAGAAGCTGATGTTAAAAATAAAATATAATATTTTCCATAAAATGTAACAATGCTAATAATATAAACACTATGTAAGTTTAGACTCACAAGTCCATTATAGTGAACTGAAGATCTAAATTACAGACAAAAGCCTAGTCATGGAGGAGGCAACAGCTATGAACACAGAACATTCCAACAGTAGGTGCAGCTCAGTCAACTTCTCCAGGGCCTGTTCAGAGACAAGCAGACAAAATCTGGCAGGGAGACGGCCACATGGGCTCATAAACAATGTGTGTACTATGATCCTGTTCATACAGGAAAACACAGAACTACACGTATCTACATCTATGTATCTTACACATGCAAGACAAGAGTTGGGAAGGGGTGGTCCAAGAGTGCAGGCTTTCTCTGGCCAGAGTTCTAAGACAAGAACATATTTACCTACCGTGGGTATGCTCTGCATACTGTCTAGGCATGAAGCTGGGCCTCCACCACAGCCTGAGTCCTCTGGGCTTGGCAACTGGTGGCTGTTAAGAACTGAATTGGGTCCCCTAAAATGCTATGTTGGAATCTTAATCCCCAGGACCTCAGAATGTGACCTTAATAAAAACAGGGTCTTTACACAGGTGACGCAGTTACAACAAGGTCATTAGGGTAGGCCCTAATCCACTACGACTGATGTCCTTAAAAGGGGGACTTTGGAGAGACGACGTGAAGGCCATGTGGAGACAATGGTGTGATGTGCCTATAGGCCAAGGAATGCCAAGGATCGCAGGACACCACCTAAAGCTTGAAGAGGAGAGGGAATATCTTCCCCTAAGGCCTTCAGAGGGAACATGGCCCTGCTGACACTTTGATCTCAGACATCCCTTCTAAGAACTGTGAGAGAATCAACATTTGTTTAAGCCGCCCATTTTGTGGTACGTTATTGTGGTAGCATGAGCAAACACAGTAGCTAAGGAAACTAATTTCAATCAGAGGTGATATTCAAAGTTCAGCACTGAATATTGGCAGGACTAGACACTAACCAATCAGAAGAGATGTCAGCCTTAAATTACTCACACATGAGGGCCACTGTGGGACAGAGAAATGACATATGGAAACCAGGAGTCACATAGGATTCCTGGCTGAACGACATGAGAAACAGGGTGCAGGGAAGGAAACTAAAGAACGTACAGTATGTTGAAAACGGGGAGCAAAAGAAAGATTTAGATGCAACCAATAAACACATTTTCAAAGACTATTTAGTGATACGGAGGAAGCTTTCAATATACCATAAAACTGAAAAGGGGGTATTGTTACTTTTAAGTATGGAATGACTTTAATTTCTAAGAAGAAACATAATACACACACACGTGTGTACACATATATGAAAAAGACTGAAAAGAAGCACATCAAATCTTTGTGGTTATCTCTGATAGTAGAGTAACAAGGAATCTGACTTTCTTCTTTGTACCTAGGTATTATCCAACCTCCCTAGAATATGTAGACATTTTTATAACCAAGAGAAAAATGGTTCTCTTTAAAAATTGCTAACAGGAGACAGTGATGCACCCTGCAGCCCCTGTATCCAGGTGCGGTCCCAGGGCCACAGCAGCAGCACTACTAGCCTGACTCTTGGAGCAGAGTACGAAGGAGTCAGACGCAGAGAGGGGGACTCACCCAGCCCCCAAGTTTCCACAGGATCCTTCTAGGTGAGCACTGACAGCAGCTTTAAGACTCACATCTGACATAAATATGCTTGAACATGCAGAGAATATTTCCAAAAGAACAATAGGACAGCAGCAGCTACTTTTATGGCTGGAAACTGTAGACTTCTTTTCATTGACACTTTTGTACATACATTACCATTTGAAAAAAGTCAAAATTATGAAAACATACAAATTAAATACCCCCACACACACACAAAATAAAGACCAACATGGCCCCAGCACTTGGCAGAGATCAGGGAGTAAACATGAAGACTCCTCAAAAGTTGGGAAAAAGAAATGGCTCTCTCAAGAAAGGAGAATGAGTATAATGCTGAGGGATATCCTTGGGGATGCTGCCGCCAGCAACAGTGCAGTCACTCAGCTTATACCACCAGTGATGCCCACATGGGTTCTGCCTCCTCCAGGGCAAATGGCGGTCAGTCTCTGCCTTGGAGTGAGGGAGGACATCTGTCACCCTTGCCACTAAACGCTGCAGTAAAGCTGTATGCTTTTGGAGAGGGCTCTGGTCACACAGAACCTGCCTCACCCCATCCTCCTGCTGTGTCCTCAGCAGCCCTGGCCTGGCTCCTCTTGCATGGAACCTGCAGATTCCCTCCAAAGGAAGCAGGAGAATCACTCCTTAAACAGCCCTTGCAAGTTGTTGGGTGCTTTTTATAGTGCTCTGAATGCACATTCTATTTAAATAAGGTTGATTATTTCCAGCCAACAGTATGTAAAAATAAGCGTCCTGTCAAGTGCAGGTGTCTCTGGCCCCCACTGTGCCACTGTTGGTCACCCCTGCAGCTGCAGGCCTGGGCACACGGTAGGAGGCAGGGGAGGCAGCATCCATGCTTCAGCACCAAGGGTGGGAGTAGGAAAGTGAGTCAGCAGTCAGGTTGAAGATTATGGAGGTCTCCCTGCAGCTCCCACTCCCGATGAGCTGGGATAACAAGGTTCTAAATGTGTTAAAGGAAAAACACAGAACAGGCTCTGTTGCCTGTTGGGTGCTGCGGGTAGCAGGGCCCTATGTCTCCTTGGGGATAGGCCAGACCCTTCCTGGCAGACTGCAGGCCTAGGTGCTGCTGAGTGTGGCAAGCCAGGCACCAGGGTCACCTGCACAGGGAGAGCTGGCGGCACTGTCACCAGGAGTCACTGTCATGCAGGCAAGCAGTTCTTGACTGAGTAGGTCAGGTTTCTGACCAGGTTTCTGAGACTCATCGTCAGGAACCTGACCTACCCAATCTGCCTGTTTGAGTGCTGCCACTAGAAACCAAAAGGTCCTCTCTTTCTTTTTTTTTTTTTTTTTTTTTTTTGAGACGGAATGACAGGATTCAGACGTTCCTAAATAGCTGC